TTTTAATTTTATTTATTTTTGGTATCAGGAATTGAACTTACAACCTCAGTCTTGCCACGCAGGCATTGTGCTACTGAGCTGTATCTCTGGCCCTTTGATTTTTTTTTTTTTTAAGAATAAAAAATATTTTTTAAAAATGAACAATACAAAATTTCACTAAAGAAAAGGACAGTAATTAAACAATGGTTGTTATATGACATGTAGTCTTCAAATTAGTTTTTCAAAGATTATATGCCAGATATAAGCATGAAAAATTGGTCCAAAAATTAAAGAGAGAAAAAGTTAAGCATTAACGGTTCCTTTCAGGAGACCAGCACAAATCAGCAGTACAATTACCCAAGTTATCCTTAATAAGCTTTTAACAGGTGGCATACTGTTTGCTCTTGTTTTCAAAATTCAGCCCATCTGTATTCTTTTTTTTTTTTCCATATTTTATGGAAGGGTCTACAGAGTCTTCAGGGTCTCACTACTGGATTGGACTCGTAATGATCCACCTGTTTACAGCCTCCCAAGAGCTGGGATTACAGACATGCGCCACCACACCCAGCCTCGATTTCCATCTCAGCACGCCCCTGGGGCAGGCTGGCACGGCAGGCCTGGGAATTGAACCCCTGGCCCCTGCTCATGCTTGCAGAGGCTTTAATCTGCTGAGCTATTTGGCTGGCCCCCATTTGTACTCTTAATAGGGAGGATTTAGTTTATTTACATTTTAGGTTGCTGAATGATACAGATTTTTATTCCTGGCATTTGTTGATTCCTTCCAGGTATTCTGAATATTGTGGGGATTTTTCCTTTCTTGTTTGTCTTCATAACTTGGTGATTTGCTGTGCTGATGTTTGATTGTTTCTACTTTTCTTTCATCTATTTACTCTTTTGATGGAATTCATGTTTTCACATGATATCAAGATGATAGTTATGTCTCATTTCTGTGTGAAAAACTCCCTAAAAAATCTTTCGCATGGACAGCAAGATAGCTCAGCAGACTAAAGTGTCTGCTTAGGTAAGCTTAAGCAAGCACAGGGACTGAGGTTTGATCTCTGGCACCACATGCCACGCCAGCCCACCCCCCCTTCTCCCCCACCCCTGGGCAGGCTGAGCTGGTGACAAAAAAAAAAAAAAATCTTTTGTAAGCCTGGCCTGGTGGTCAAGAATTTTCTCATTTTTGTTTTGTTTTATTTTGTTTTTTGCTTTGCTTTGCTTTGCTTTGCTTTTTTGAGACAAGGTCTCACTACGTAGGCCACGGTGGATTCAAACCCACAGCAAAGCTCTTGCCTCAGCCTCCCGAATACTGGGATCACGGATGGGATTCCATGTCTGACGGAATTTTTCTTTATTTTATTTTATTTTTCTTTCTTTTAGAACTGCTTGTTTCTCCTTCACTTTTGAAGGCTAGCTTTACTAAGTATAGTGAACTTGGTCAGCTATTATTTTCTCTCAGGACATAGAATGCATCATTGCATTCCTTCTTGGCTTATAATATCTCTGCTCCAAAATCCAGTCTTATCCTATGGGATTATCAATAAGTGTGACTTGGCATTTCTGCGGAGCTTAAAATTGTTTGTCTTGCACTTTTAACATTTTGACTGCCGTATGCCGCAGGAGCCTGCCATGTCTATGTGGGGTTCTATGTGATGCCTAGGTATTTTCAAAGTTAAGGATGTTTCCTACTATTTTATTGAACGTGTTTCCTATCCTTTTAACTTTCTTCTTACTGACTTTAGGGATTACAAAGATGTGGATGTTCATTTAATGATGCTTCTATGGTTGTAAATGCTTTAACCCCACCCACTCCATCCCTGCATCCCCCCTACCCTCAGGGGTTGGGATAATCCAAAAGACCCCTCTCTATTCAAGCTCAAATATTCTTGGTCTAGCTTGATATAGTCTGTTGTTGAGCTTTTTGACACAGTGTTTTCTTTGTCTTCCTCACTGCTTGTGTTCAAGATTTTTCAAAATCTATCTCTTTTCATAATTTCTCATTCATATTCTGTGTTATCTTGATAATTTCATTCAATTGTTTTTCTGTTTTTTTTTGTTTTGTTTTAGTTTTAGTTTTTTTCTGGTAGTGCTGAGAATTTAATTCAGGGCTATTACAACAAACTAAATCCCTATCCTTTTCTATTTCTTATTTTGAGACTGGGTCTTCTGAAATTTAAGATCCTTCTGCCTCAGCCTCACCAAGTGCTGGGATTACAGGTGTCTGCCCTGTGTTCAGCTCACTCATTTTTGAATACTTGATCAGGCATTTCATCTGTGTTCATTTCTTTGGACTCCATCACTAGAGAGTTGTGAGCTTTTGGAGCTACCATACAACCTTGCTGTATTGCATTTCTTGTGTTCCTCTGTGGAGATTTGCGCATCTAGCGGATGAGAAATCGCAATCACTTTTATGGGGTGGCCTTATGGCTTTCTCAAGATATGTCATGGGTCATGTACCTTGGTAGTGTCCTAAATTTTTCTGATCAAGAAGATTATGGGGCCAAAGAGGAAAGTGATCGATGACGTAGAGTGTGCCTAAGGAGAGTCACATGGGGAGAAGACACTCTCTCAGGCTTTCACAGAGAGCATATTGGCCAAGCAATGGCTGTGACTCATCCACATGGCTGACACTGACAAAGATTCTACAATCTGAGGTATAGGATCTCAGGATAAATCCTGAGGGGATTTCACTGACCTTCTCAGACCCAAAAGCTACAACTCTTGTTGCATAGGTCCTGCTTTACCTTGGTCTTAACCATCCAGTAGAAAAGTATGAAGACGAAATATAGGAAGTAAAGCCATGTTGTTATGTTGAGCTGTAGGGGACTCAGGTCAATAATTTCTGACAATGCCAGTTAAACAGAAGACCCAATGCTATTATGGGCTACTGGACTCTTTTAGAATATTTTGCTGAGTTTACACACCTACAATATTCAAATAACGGAACTTAGAAAAAGAGGGGTATACAGATGAATGTCCATTTTGTACCTGTGTATTCAAAGTGGTTAGGATAGATATATAGTTACATTCTCTTAATGAATAGAATGATTTGTTCTAATGGTGTTTGTAAATAGGATCTCAAGTCCGCATCTTATACAGCAATTAACCACTAAGAAGAATATATGCAGTGTGTTAGTTATTGAAACTGTACTTCTGATTTGATTTGAAACTGTCTCATTCCTATCTGTTTATCAATAAAATCTTGAAAAAAAAAAGATATGTCATGGGGAGAGGTTAGCGTTTTGGTTATACAGTGTGGCTTCCTTTCCAGCCAAGCACCAGGGTATAGATTCCCTGTAAGTTCTTTGGCTGTGATTTGGGAGTTTTGGTATAGTCTGGATGGCATCAGGATTACAGGAACCAGATGAAGCTCTGTGCCACATAAGAATAGGGACACTAGCCATTCAAGCAGGTGTGGTATAGACTTCAGAATGTGGCAGTCACTCTGTAGCTGCTCCTGGCTGCACCAGGGCAGTGGCCTCCATGGGTTTATGGGGGTTCCCTTAATCACCACTGATGCCAGCTCAGCTGCTAGTAAGGGCCTGTGACACTGGTAACACCAGTCACGGTAAAGAGCATGAAGCAGTTCTACTGGACAGTAGCGTGGATCCAGCTCCTCATGGCAGAAAGGCTTTAGCAGGAGCCATAACTCCTCTTGGTGACAACCACACCTTGCTGTACCAGCAGTGGGTGGTCAGCCCAGCAGTGGCGAGGGTGGTAGCCATGCAGTCATGCTGGGGCGGCAGGGGTTCAGGTGTTCCTCAAGTGCTCCTACCGCAAGAGCACCTGCCCACCACCCCTGGGATCCTATCTGTGTTGCTATGCTTCTCTGTGGTCCTGGCCAGGAGAGGAACAGACATGGCCAGAGCTGGCGAGGTTCCTGCGAGGGCCTCCTGGCCATGTGTACAGGATGTGCAGTGTAGGGAACCTGGGCTCTGCACAACGCTGCCTCCCCTCACTCCCCAGGGAAACCATGGTGCTCTTTCCTCCTGGGCCATTGGCAGATTTCAGGTAGCTCGTCTAAGTGTGCTGCAAATCTTCCAGGATTTTGTGAGTTCACAGCAGCTGGGATTCCCAGCTGATGTCCCACAGAGGATTTGCATGATTGTCTCTTCTGACATTGTCACAGCAGGCAATGGGGAAACACTTCCCGGCCTTGACTGGAGCAAAGATGGCAGATGTTTGTGTGTTTTCTCTCATTGGTGTTACCCCAGGAGGTCTGTAATCTGTAAGGCTGTGGGCTCTCTCCTGGTGGCCAAGGTCTTCCCATGCCCACCTGCCAGTGCAACCCTGCACCTGTTTCTTAGAACAGTCTTTCTGTGGGACAAGGTGAAAACTCAATGCCTCTATTTGGCCACCTGGAAATCCTAAATAATACTTCTAATTCGCACTGCTTCTTACTGTTCTTTGCCTCACTCCAGGGCTTTCTGTAGAGAACCTGGGAAGACTAGCAAACCTCAGTGGAGCTGTGCACGTCTGCTTTTGAAGTCACAGTTGTCTCTCACTTATTGCAGAGGTTACGTTCCAAACACCCCCGTAATGAGTGGAAATCAGTGATGTCATGACATTATATTTATTTTACTATTTATATATATTTTAAAGCTTTATAAACTCCACACTCTTATAAGCCTTTCCCACACTTTTAAAAACACTCTTAATGTTCTTAACCATTTTCTAAACTTATAAACCTATGTCATTTTAACAATATACATATACTGTATGGTACCACAAAATCCCCCACGATAAATAATTTTGTTTAGTATTTTTGAAAACCTGTGAAACAGTGAACCCGTGAAAGCCAAACAGTGAAATAGGGATTACTGTATTGTTACTGTTGCTCTTCTATGCCGTGACAAGTATCAGCATGGGGCCCTGGAATTCAGGCGACAGCTACAGGAAAAGGGCCCCGGAACACAGGGTGACTCTAGGCTGAAGTAGGCACTGAGGATGACAACTGTCTGCCCTTCTGTTTTAGTTTTTTGTGTGGTGATTTTGGTTTTTTTTTTTGTTTCTCTTTGTAGACTTTTGTCAAGAAAGAATTGAAAACCACGGATGAGGAACTGGAAATGAAATTATTAAGTGAATTAGTTGCAGAAGGTATTCTAAACCGTATTTTCAGAGTTCAACTTCCTTGAGATTTTCTTCACACAAAAGTAACACAAGGTCATTATGAAAATAAAACTCCAGGCATTGCAGAAATGTAAAGAGAAAATGCTTCATAGTCTCCCTGCTGAGATAACCAGTGTTGATAGATTTATTTGCTTTTTCTATTTCTTTGGCTTCAGAAAAATTAATTTTGTTGGTACATTTTAGATACACGTATTGATAAGTCTCATTGTAGGGAATTTGTACCTGTACATGATATATCTTGAGTCTTTTTTTTCCCATCCTCCCCCCTCAAGTCCCTCTTCCCCTCCTTATTTAAAAAGCTTTGCTTTCATTTTTCCTTCTTTTCTCTTTTATTTTTCTTGCTTCCTTTCCCCAGGCCCCCCTCCCTTGGTCCTCTTCCATTGGAACACTCTCTTCCTATTTCACAATATTTATTGTACACTTTGGCCCTTCCTTATACATTGAGTTTCTAACACCAGAGAAACTGTGATCCTTGAACAAGGGTGCCCAGTGTATTTCACTGAACAATCTGTTCTCAAGGTGCATGCATGACCTCGAAATGTCTCAAGTTTATCCTTCTTCATGGCAAGGAGAACTTCACTGTCTAAAACACCTGCATCATCTCTATCCATTTACTGGTTGATGGGCATTTAGACTGTTTCCAGATTTAGCTATTGCAAACTGTGCTGTTATAAACATAGGTGTGCAGATAGCACTGTGGTATGCTGCTTTTAGTTCTTTCCAGAAGATACCAAGAAGGGGAATAGCTGGGTTCAGTGGGACCTCCAGTCCTAGTTCTTGGAGTTATCTCCACACTGATTTCCACAGTGGTTGCACCAGTCTACACCCCCACAGCACTGGAGGATTCCTTTTTCCCCACATCCCTATCCGTATTTGTTATTGGTTGATTTCTTGGTAATAGCTATTCTTTCTGGACTGAGATAGAATCGCAGCATTGTTTTAATTTGCATCTGTCAAATGACCAGTGATGTTGAACATTTTTTTCAAATATTTACATTTCTACTTCTTCACTAAGAGTGTATTCATTTCAGATGGTCATTTTGGAATGAGTCTTTACATTAGGGGAGTCTGGTTTTTCTGAGTTCTGTATTCTATGTATTAATCCTTTGAGGGATAGCTGGCAAAGATTTTTTTTCCCCAGTGTGTGGGTCATCTCTTCTCTCTGTTGCTGCTTTCTTTTGCTATATAAAAACTTTTAATGAGGTCACAGTTGTTGATTCTTTGTGATAGTTTTTATGTGATCGGGTTTTTGTTCATAAAGTCTTTTCCTACACTAATGTCTTCAGGTGTTCTACTTAGTGTATCTTCCAGCCTATTGTTTTTTTTTTTAATATTTTGATCTTTGATCCTTTTCCATTTTAGTTAAGTACATGATGGGAGATATGGGTTCAGTTTTACTCTTCAGCATGTGCAAAGCCAGTTTTTCCAGCACCATTTATTAAAGAGGGTATCTTTCTTTCAGTGACGGTGGCCCCTTTGTCAAGGGTAAGGTGGACAAGAGTGTTTGGAGTTTTGTCTACATCTTCTAATCTGTCCTATTTAATCCCTGCGTCTGTTCTATTTTTTGGTCAGTCCATGCTGTTTTGACCACTGCAACTTTGTAGTATAATTTCAAGTCAGAGATTGTGGTGCCACCTCCTTTACCTTTTTTGCCCATAATTGCCCTTATTCTAGGCCTATTCTGGTTCCAAATGCATTTTAGGACTGTTTTAGCTAATTCTGTGAGGTATGCTATTGGCATTTCGATCAGGACTGCATTAAATCTGAATCCTAAATTTGGGAATATGGCCATTTTACCTATGCTGGTTCTTCCAACCCAAGAATGAGGGATATCTTTACATTTTCTGATATCTTCTTTGATCTTCATTTTCAGACTACTGTAGTTTTCCATGTAAAAGTCTTTTACTTTACTAGATTGATGCTTAAGTACTTCGTTTTTTGCATGCTATTGTGAAAGGTGTAGTTTCTCTAATTTTTCAGTGAGTTATTTGTGTATAGTTATGCTATTAATTTTTGAGTGTTGACTTTGTATCTAGCTATACTACTGAATTTGGTTATTAAATCCAGAAGTCTTTTGGGGTCTTCAATAGAGTGTCATGTTATCTACAAATAAGAATTTATCTTCTTCCTTTTGTATTGTTAGGAGGGTTAGGTAAATCCTGGAAATAGCCCATCTGCCCATCAATTAATGAATAATTCTAAGTTATACACTTTTTGAAAAGATTTAGGAGTTAAAGCTTCTTTTGCCGATACTGGGATATTTCCTATTTATTTAGAGACTGCATTAATTTGATTAACTTTAGCACAGTTGACCCTGATAAAAAATGCTCCTGAAAAGCCAGACATCTCTGAATACAAAGAGGTGGATTTGTACCAGTTCATGATCCTGGGCGGTGTGTATCACTTGGATATTTTGCAGCTTCCCCCGCAGTGTAAGCCAGTAAAAGGCTGGATGATGGTGGAGGTATGTAAATCCTTTAATACAGTCTTGTAAGCAAAATAGCTTCCCTATGTTTTGTTTGCTTGTTTGTTTGTTCTTTCGGAATCAGGGATTGAACTCAGGCCCTTGTGGTTGCCAGGAAAGTGCTTATTCTACTGAGCCACTTCCCTATGCTTTTACTCTATTTCAGAAAATTTCAAATGAACTTTGACCATATATTAAGCAAGGAAATGCAGGTGGGAAATGCAATTTTAAGCTGTCGTGAATTTATACGTATTAAAAATCTGAACCAAATCCTTTTACTTCCTTCGTCAGATAGATTCCTTAGTGTTTGATTTTGGGATGCTATTATGAAAGGTGTGGTTCTCTAATTTCTCTCAGTAAGTTTGTTAGTTGTGTACAGGAATGGTAGCAATCTAAAACATGAATTTTAAGACTACAGTATGGGAACTGTAAACCTACAGCATTAATATTTGGAAGTGCCCATTTGGTCTTGCTAATGTAAATCGGAAGTTGACAGGCTTTCTTTGTAAAAAGCTGGGAGATACATATGCCAGTCTTCTGAGCTAATAAGCTCTGATGAAATCACTCTGCTCTTGGAGCTAAAATTGCTGTATGTAAACACATGGTCAGGTGAGGGCTCTCAGGTTCAACTGCATGTACAAACGGAGATGGCAGGAGGCATTTCCGAGAGACAGCAGGCTGTGGACTGGTTGGATCTGTGGCTGTCACCATGTTACCCCCTGGCAACCTCTCACATCATCTGGGAATTTGCTAGAAATGCAACCTCATGAGCCCCGCCTCAAACTGAGTCAGAAACTCCACAAATGAAGCTCAGCAATTGGCGCTTGAGCCACAAACTTGACAAGCTGTTCTGATCTGACTCCTTGAGGCACAAAGCATGGTCCTTGAATCCGCAGGGCTGAACCAACAACAGGAGTATGGCCTTGAAATGTCTAAGACATGCATGCTCATTGGGTGGCCTCAGGCCTACTGGATCTGTCCTTGAACGGATCCTCAGATAACCCATGTGAGCGTTAAGAGGCTGAGCAGCGCCAATCCTGTCAGTGTGCAGGCAACACGGCCTGGCACGGCTGCTGATGACACTGATGACAGCACCACATGCGCCAGCTCTTGAGGAGTTCACGCGCTCCCAGGAGTAGCAACACCTGCAGCAGTGTTGACTGGGTTTGTTTTAACCTCAGCGTGGCTTCGCTCTCCTCCCCCTCCCTTGTTGCTCAGCGCATGGGCAGACTACCAGTTTCTTCTCAATCCCACAATCCCATCCCATAAGGATTTAGTTGCATCCCTATATTTACAGCTGTATTCTCAACTCTGTGGCCCAGAGTCTTTGTAGACATTTCACCCCCCTAGATCCCCTCCCCAATAAAAATTTTAATACATAGATAATACCATAAACCTCTTTATGGACTTTACATGTATGAGTAGTGTTTTCCTTTTCCCCGCTCTAGCCAACTAATCTGATATTGTCTTCTTCCCCCTTTTTTTCCCCACAAATAAGAATACATTTATGAGAGAAAGCCTAAGGGAAATAATTTTGACTAGAGCCACTTCAAAGAATCCATTTGAATCTGCCTTCCATACTTGAAGGACACCCATAGAACAAGGACCAGACTAAGGAAGACCTCCATCTGATGAAGGGAGGCCTTCAAGACTGTGCATACCTGAGCCAGGGTTTTCAAGAAATCTATTCCTACCCTTAAACTTTGTTCCAGTACCACAGCTCCATGTTCTGCATCTGCACCCAATGCATGCGTACCTACGGGTCTCTCCTGCAACAAAGATACCTCTCCTTTTCTTCCCAAGGTTATTTTTAGACAGAGTCTCACTGTATAGCCCAGGCTGGCCCTGAACTCACAGTGATCTTCCTGCTTCAGCCTCCCAAGTGCTAAAGTTACAGGCATGCACAACCACATCCAGCTCCAAAGCCTTTTTAAACAATTCTACCTTTTCTAGAACTTTTTTTTCTATTTCTGATATTTTTTTCTTTTTCTTTTTTTAAAAATGTTTTTCCTTTTTTGCTGCTTTCATTGTTTTGTTGGTGGGAGCAGTACTAGGAATTGAACTCAGGACCCTGAGCTTGCTAGGCAAGCGCTTATTCTACTGAGCTGTCTCCCCAGCCTGCTGCTTTCAGATAATGTATGAATCCCCCTCACTCTGGGAATTTGGAAACCCTGCTGTTTATGTACTTTATTTTTCCCCATTTCTTACCCCACTTAAAAGGTTGTCTACACTTTCCTGAATAGCTACATGTCCTTACCGAGAACATATGATTTATCATCCCATATATCAGCTCCTGCTGTCTCAAAAACATCTTGCAATCTTCGGCAAATTATTTAATTTCTCCAAGTCTTAGTTATCTTCTCTAGTAAGTCCGAGTCCAGGCTTTGTGGGATTTCTCAGAGGAATAAACTGATGTCCTCTGTCACAGAACCTGCCCCACAGGGAGCTCTATGGTTACATTTGAATTTAACAAGTTCCCCTCATTTATCTTTGTTTTGTTGTGAAATTTGGTCAGTCCATCTATAGATACATGGGGCCAAACTGCAGTGCTTGTGAAAAGTTCTATGGTTTATTTAGTAAAAGTTACACCTTTAACTCTGACTTGGTGGCATTGTGGTCATTTTTAAGATACTCAAGGAAGGATTACAGAAATTTATATATCCTCCAGAAGTCATGGAAGACTTTGAAGCAGAAAATTTTCCACCTATTGAAGTCACGCTGCAGGTGCAGGGGAAAGTGATCTTCTTTGAGGACCCTATGGTCGCAAGATGGGATACTGAAGGTACAGCAATACATTATCCATCTGGTTTTTTGTTTTGGTGGAAGTGGGGATTGAACTCAGGCCCTTGCACTTACCAGGCAAGTGCTTATTCTGCTGCTCTATCTCCCAAGCCCCTTAACCATCTTTTATAATTACAGTAACACCAATCATACCAACTTTTATAATACAGTAATACCAATCCTTAAATTAAACATAAAATGTAGTATGTAAACTGAGTTTGTTACCTTACATATTTCTAGGCCAGTTCTAGGTATTTGTTTTATTTGCTCTTGATAGAAATGCATCGGAGTGGGAATTTTTAATTTTGTCGAATCTGTGTTACTATTAGGTTGTAAGATTCCAACATTTGCCACCCTAGACATAATAATTTTATGGCTATATCTGTGCTTAAAAAATGAATTAAAATATCAAAATAATTTAGCAAGTGAAAAGCATAACCTCCTCTCTCACAAAATAGGCAAATCATTTAGATTGAGATGATTCACATTTTAACATTAACTACATATAACTTACATGCAAATATCAGAGATGGGAAACCAGAGACAGAGGAAAGCTAGCGATGGGACACCACTTTATAACTTCTCATTCTTGAGCCTTAGGAAATGTTTACTTTCATAAACTATTAAATGCATAGAAATAAAAGCAGATGTATAAGCTAATGGATGTGATGGCCACCACCAAAATGCCTCTTTTGTGGTAGGCTGGCTGAATTTTGAAAGTTTTTTTTTTTGTCTTGTATATGAACTTGTACAGTTTTAAGGAACCTAGATAAAAGTTTACAGTATCTGTGTATTCAAAGTGGTTAGGATAGATATATAGTTACATTCTCTTAATGAATAGAGGGATTTGTTCTAATGGTGTTTGTAAATAGGATATCATGTCCGCATCTTGTACAGCAATTAACCACTAGGAAGAATATACGCAATGTGTTAATTATTGAAACTCTCCTACCAATTTGATTTGAAACTGTCTCATTGCTATTTCTCAATAAAACTATGGAAAAAAATAAAATAAATAAATAAAAGTTACAGTACTTTATTTTCAGAGTTGCTGTACATTTATTTATTTATTTATTTAGGCGAAATTGGGGATTGAACTCAGGCCCTTGCGCTTGCCAGGGAAGCTCTTATTCCACTGAGCCATCTCCCCAGCCCCCACCCATTTATTTTTGAGGGATTTGCACACGTACACACCATGACTAGCTTTCCTCTGTGTCTGGTTTGCCATCTCTGATACTTGTGACAGGGTAGGAACAAGGCTCTAAAACACAGACCTCTTACCCTCCCCCACATTTAAATTAGGTTTTTGAGTTGTAAGACATACAAAAGAACACCTATCATGTGGCTGCATTTATAGAAAAAGTCCAAGAGGGCCAATCCTGAGAGGCAGCTAGTACATATATTAATGGAAGATTCCATGAGCTGGAGATGGGAACTGGGGTGAGCTGTAGACAGAGACATCTTTCTTTGAATCCAAATGTCCTATTATCTGTTTGGGGGGATGATTGTACATCTATGTACATTTCCTAAAAATAATTGAAATTGCATACTTCAAACAGGTGAAAAGTTGTTTTAAAAGAGGAGAAACATTTCTCTAAAATGCTAGGGAAGAGTATTTTATGAAGCTTTTTTTTTTTTTTTGCAGTACTAGGGATTGAACTCAGGACCCTGAGTTTGCCAGGCAAGCGCTTATTCTACTGAGCTATCTCCCCGGCCCTTGAAGCTCTTAAGGTCCATGCCGTGGGGCTTGGAGGCAGGGAGACTCCAAGGGAAGGTGGGCTTATAATGCAAATTTTATTTTTATTTTATTTGTGTTTTGAGACAGGGTCTCACAAGCCCAGGTGACCTCCAACTCACAGTCACCCTCCTATCTCAGAGATTGCAGGCGTGTGCCAACCCACCTGGCTAGATTTTATTCTTGATGTAAAAAATTAGTGATATAGCTGCCTTGATCTTATTTTGTTGTAGGGAAAAATGAAGCTAATGTCACTCTTCACTTACTATAAAGGTAAATACTGGCGAACGGACGGCATCAGCAATGTTTATTACACCCCAGAAGAAAGACTTATATCCTTCAACCTGGAGACCTTTGGCCCCATATCCTTGATGCAGGAAACACATATGAACATGCCATACCAGTCTTGGGGACTTAGACCACTGGATGTGAATAAAGCCCTTCTGACTGTGACAACAGTATTCACTGAGATTCAAATACAAATTCAGGTAAGTTCCCACTTAGCAAGTCCAAGGGTGCCATAGTGGGCTGAAACAGTCACTGATTTATATATTCAAATATAAGTGCTTTATGTATATGGAAATATGAGGCTCACTATCATACTTAAAGTGACCACAGAGAGATCCAGGAATCAGCAGCAAGCTCTATTCTGGTTGCCATATGTATTTCAGTTTTTGAGCCAGCCTGCAAAGGCTCCCTGGTCATCATTCAAACATCTGAAATTCCCTGTGAATGAGACACTACTGGTCATCATTCAGAAAATATTCTAGAGGCAAGGCTAAGTGATTGCCTGGGGCTGTATAAATGGACACAGGGGATTTTATTGGGTGGGATGAAAATGTCCTTGAGATGATTTATGGTGACAGTTACACTACTTGAAAAAGTGTCTCAAAATGATTGCACTGAGGCAGGAGGATCCCTGCACGTGTGAGGCCAGCCTGACCTGCACAATGACCTCGCCGTTGTGTGAGATGGGCGAATTTTGTGCTATGCAAAATACATCTCGATATTTTTTTTTTTTGGCGGGGGGAGACTGGAAGTCTCTCATGATTAAACTCTGCTTTTAAAATGAGACAAGACATCAAAAGCCCAGGATTGTCCATGCTACAAAGGACCTTAAAACATTTCTAATCTGTCCTCACGTTTTATACAGGAAAACCGATGCCCAAAGTGGTTAGGAGTCATGTGACCGAACCACGCTGTCTAAGGAGATGGTAGTATTGGGAGTGTGAGCTCTCCAACTCAACGGTGGTGCGTCACCACACCAGCGTCCCCCCGACCCCCATGGGCGCAGACTTTTTCTCTAGGTTAATGGGAAGCTGCCCAGTATTCACTTGCTAACGTGGTTACCAGACGGGTGGACTGTATGTTTTCAGGTCAGATTATAAAGATATAGCTGTGTTATCTAATACAGAAACTACTAGCCAGTGGTTATTGTGCTCCTGGAGTGTGACTAATCCAAACCAATATGTACTATAATTTAGAGCACAGGTTGGATTCTGAATACTTGGTATAACAAGCAATTTTTTTTCATTAATAATTTATACTGATTATACATTGAGATAATATTTCAGATATATTGGTTTAAATCAATTACCAATATCAAAATAGAGGAGAGATGTGAATTGCTACTTAGCCAAACCTTAAAAACGGATATTAAATTTTACATGTTTAAAAAATTAACCCCTAAAAATATAAGCGTGACTTTTTCATAGGTATTTTGAGTCGATGTGAACATATGCAGTATTTGTGCATCATAACTTTAAAAGAAGAGATCTCATAAACAGAATTAATCTCTTGACTATTCAGATAAAGCCTAGAAAAAGTTACTAAACTGCTTATATGTTGATGGGGACTTGGGGGAGGCACTTCTACATCAGGCCTAACACATACTTGTCCTGAATTCTTTTGGGGTTACTGTTTTGTTGTTTGAAACAGGTTCTCACTACGTAGAGCCAACTGGCCTTTAACTTGCTTATGTAGCCCTCAAATTCAGTCAGGGTGGTCCTCCTGCCTCAGCCTCCCGTGTTCTGGGGATTATAGGTGTGCACTACCACATCCAGCTGCATTCTTCTTATCAAGTGACACATGCTTTAAAAAAATAAGACAAAAAAAGGGAAAAAGGATACATTTATATGTATAGATGCAGGGTAGCTTGGATAACTGTACTGCTGATTTCTGCTGGTCTATTGAAAAGAAAAGGTAATGCTTAAATTCTTTTTTCTTTTTAATTATGACTTTTTTGCCAGTTTTTCATATTTATGTCTGTCAAACAACTGATGTGAAGATAACATTATGTAATATAACCACCATTGTCCAATTCCTATTTTGTTAAGTGAAATTGTGTAGTGTATTTTTCTTTTTTTAATTTTAATTTTTTACCATTTTGTATTCTCTTTTAAAAAGAGAAAAGATAAAGAGATTGCAGGTTCTTTTCCTTTTGTTTCATATAATATAAATATTTGGGGCCTAGGCAGGATGTGTTTACATGGTGCTGTTTTGTGTGTTTTGGTGCATTGGGCAGAGAGTTAGGAGCTTTTACTATGAGCTTAGTAAGGATGTATGACAACCCTAAAAAAAAAAATCACAATGAATTTAAAGGTTGGGCCTTTATACTGAAGTCATAATTTAACTTTTCTATAAAAGTTTCTTTTTTTTCTCATTTAAACTTAGGAAAACCTCTGCATGCTGGCTTCAGTAAAAGTAAAGGACAAAGAGCACTCGTTGGAGATGGAAGGGAAGTGGATGGCCCCTGTCCCTTTCATTAGTGCTCTGAAAGAGACTGGACTGAATATCTTCCCGACTGAATACTCCCATTTTTATGTTGTCATAAACAATAAGGCAAGTGTTAATCTCTCCAAATTTAACATAGTGGACATTTGGGGTGTTGGCAAGAATTTTAATACATGATTATCATTGGCACCAAATGGAGAGAGCCCAGGTTCTCTCAGGTTTAGTCATCTTGCTAAAGACCCCTGGAGTAGGAGCTGACAAAAACGACCTATGGAGAGCTGGTCAGTCAGTGCAGAAGAGGCCCGAGTGACTTCTCATTTTGTATAACTTTTGTTCATTTTGGTCATCTTTTTGAGACAGGGTTTCACTCTGCAGTTCAGGCTGGACTTGAACTTGCAGAGATCCTTCTGCCTCAGCCTCTGAAGAGAGAAAATTTTCTTAGGAGAGAAAATAACCCTGTACTTTTTCAAACAGGTTAAGTTGGGCAAAATTAAACCACTAGTTTCCAAACCCCTCTCTATAGATTTCTTGACAAAGCCTTCATGGCTGTGTGCTGCTTTATGTTGCAAAGTTTGGGTAAATTAGATTCTTGCTACCCTAAAGGTTCTCTGAGCTGTTTTTTAATCAACTTTCTGATAACCCCTAGCAGCCTCCTAGAATACAGGTGCTTGGTGAATCTTTGTGATACGCGGAGGAAGACACAAGGTGCTCCTAACCATAGAAGACATGTCCGTAGGTAGCAGAATCCTGTACTTGGCACAGTGATGAACACATCAGGCATCAACTAGTGGTGTAGGGGGACATTCATGTAACATTTGGCAATAATGGTAGAGCTAAGGGTATGTACATACACACAAGAAAATCCTCCTTGGCTTTAGTAACTCACATTGTGGTAACTACAGTGCAAACGTAGTGTCCTGTTCATGTTTTCAAGATATTCAGTAATGCTTTTCTTCAATAACTATAAGCTGTGCATTGTTTAAAATAGTTAGGATACAGTAGTTAATAAAGCACAGGTCCCTGCCCTTGCAGACCTTATATTTAGTCAAAGGAAACAAAGGTAAAAGTGCTAGGGCAAGAGAAGTAGGTAAGAATGAGTGGGGTGGGGCTGGGGAGATAGCTTGGAGCTCTAAGTGCCTGCCTGGCAAACACAAGGACCCGGTACCATGCCAGTCACCGAAAGTAGAAGTGGTGGTACATACCCACAATCCCAGCACAGGGGAGGCTAAGACAGGAGGATCACTAGGAGTCTGAGCTGCATAGCGAGACCCTGTACCAAACACAACTAAAACATTTAAAAAAAAAAAAAAAAAAGAATGGGTTGGACAGTGTCCAGTGTTAAGCATTAGGAGTCAGTGAGCAGGTGAGAGGGGCTAAGGTCTGTGCAGAGCTTGGAGGCGCACAGTTCAGCCACATGTGCCTAGACACAGACCAGCTGGAGCCAGAGCCGGAGGAGGAGGAGGAGGAGGAGGAGGAGGAGGAGGAGGAGGAGGAGGAGGAGGAGGAGGAGGAGGAGGAGAGGCCGTGCGTGTGCTGGGAGGGCTGGTCACAGGGGGCTTTGGTAGACATCACCTTGGGGTTCTGCCCAGAGGAAGGGAAAGCCCCTGCCCAGTTTTGAGAGAGGCCTCACTGGTCTGACTTAAACTTCTACATGGAGCCCGCAGGACGGAAAAGAGACTTGCTGGGAGCCCGCAAGGTGAACCCCCACTTGTCTCTGTATTTGTATTGACAGATTCCATCGGTGGAAATGAAAGCCTGCCGGCAGATGGCCCTGATAAGCTCTGCTTTTGCCTTTGCGTGGAGCAAGTGGAATACCCTGTGCAATTCCACCAACATTGTGTTTAAGGTGCAGTATCTAAACACCTAGAAAACCCCCTGGTCTTCCAAAAAAAAAAAAAGGATAATGTGAGTACTTTTTGAATGAGAACTGAATGTAAATCCTAGTATTTCCTTGGAAAAAGTTTTTTTAAAAATCAAATAATGTTTTTCATTTACAAAATTTAGCTTTGTTTAGTTGGTCAATAATACAAAACCAGTGCAGGCACCATGTGCAGGCCTGTAGTGCTAGCTACTTGGGAGGCAGAGGAAGAGGCAGAGGTGGGAAGATGCCAAGTGTGAGGTCAGCTTTGATCACTTAGTGAGCCGTTGTCTCAAAATTTAACAAGGAAAAGAAAGGGTTAGCAGTATGAGGCCCTGGGTTTTGAAAAGAAAAATGTTTCCAAACTCCGCAAGGGTGTGCTGTGAATCCAGGCTGGAGCTCTTGCCAACTCAAGAGCTAAGGTTGCCTTTAAAGATGGGCAACACAGTCACATCTCTCCTCTAACTTGCTAGTGCACTTACCATTGCCTGACGAATTTTTGTTTTGTTCCCTTGTGTTCCACTGTTCTATGCCCAGCAGGGAACAGATGCTGAAATTTGACTTGGATGAACGAATGCATAGTTGTTTAAGTGCCTGCTCATGCAAGCACAGGATACCGCAGTTCAATCCCCACCTCAACCTGCATTACCAGACCTGCCCTTAAGGCAGCCTGAGCCAGCCAAAAAAATAAAAAAAAATCATTCTGAATGAATGCATGCAGAAAAGTTCCATACATACAATTTGAGTTTATAAACAATTCAATAATAGAACCTTAAATATGGTTAACATGGTCATTTTAGGGGACTGAGCTAAGCCCTTTGAACACCACTCAGCTCTCAAAATCATGAATAGCGGGGCACTGGGAATAGATTTTTCTCATTTTGTTGTCTCTAGGTGAGGGAGTGCCTGACTGAGGAGCCCCCTGAGATCCCTCACTGGGCCCTGTATATGTTCAGTGGGGACAGAGCTCAGAGGCTCAAGATAAACGAAGACAGCGAGTCGTTCTCCGAGGCCCTTGCAGAAGGCACTGAGTTCCACTCCACCCTGTTCCACATGGTGAAGGACGCTGCTTCCAAGGAAGCCGTGGAGAGGGTGAGGAGCTCCAGCTGCCTGTTCGTTGACTCGGTGTGCTACATGCTCCTCTCCACGAGGGTGCTCAGCTACTCCTAACCTCCACTCACAAGCTTACGGGTAAAGAGGAACTGCATTTCAATTGACTATTAAAATTGCCTAACAGCATTTTACATTCAATTTTATTTTAAACAAAACGGGATTTTTTCCCCCCTTGACTGTTTGCCCTGTTGAGAAGTTCAACTTTCACCATGGGAAAATTTGAAGGGTTCTTTATTGAGATAAATTGTAGCAAAACATTTCTGGAAAAAAAAAAATCCTCATTAAAATATCCGCTTTCTGGTCGCCTCCCCAACTATAAAACACAAAGTGGGAATGCAAAATAGTTTACAGTTTATCAGAAAACCTGTGTTGTTGTGCTACCCTAAGTGACACCCCAGCTAAAAGTTACATGTTTGGTGAAGTTCAGAGAATGGAAAGTCCAAAATCAAGCCACCTACGTTAGGGTTTGTGGCAGTCACACCGGGGGTGGCCTGTCCTGCTGCAGTGTGGTGAATGGCCACAGGATGTGCTCCAGCGATACCCAGGAGTCCTCTTCCTCAGTGGCAGTGGCATCCACAGACCGCTGGAAAAATCGGCCTGCGAGCAAGCTCATGAGAGCTGCAAACACTACAATGAGTACAACAGACAACCAGATGGCTTTATTAGCCTTTCTCACGGAGCTCCCGAGATTCGTCACCCATGAGGCCAGCGTGTCAGGGCTATAAGGAAAACAGAGTTCTGTAATCACTGTCGTTGGTTAGTAGAGACCCTGCTTTTGCTACCACCCCCATCTCATCTTGTATCTACCCTAAAGACCACCGACCCTGCCTTCCAACCCATGTATTATGATTGATCCTCATGGCTTGGGACACAGTCTGCATCTACCTCTTATAATTGTTGGAATTCAGAAAGTGATTGAGGGGGCCTGCCCCTTAGCTCAGTTCTTTAAGTGGCTGCTTCAACAAAGCTGTCAGGCTCAGGTTGCTGTGGTTCGATCCCCACAACTCAAGCCAGCCAGTCATGCCTTGAAGGCATTCGGAGCAAAAAAAAAAAAAAAGAAAAAAGAAA